CAGCTTTCCCAAAGACACACAGCTGGTAGATAGCACAAGGATTTGAGCCCAAGCAATCTGATTCCAGAGCCCATACTCTTGACCACTGTGTGATTCTGCCCCTTGGAAGAAATCACAACAGATAACATGATGTTTACCTGTAGAAATATGTAATTTACAATTCACAGCCCTGCCTTCCAGTGAGTTTTTACTCCTATCAGTGTTTAAGTCTGAGGCTTTCAGCCTTCACATCTAAAATGCAACAGGGTATATAAGTGTTATCTTGTCATAATGGAGTAAAAAAACAAGGTCTCAGTGGGATTACTGTCCCCATGTCAAGTCCAAGAGCAGCCAGGTCCTGTGCTCATGTCTTCACCAAGATTGACTCCAAGTTTCCAACCTTGCAGGCCTGATAGATTGTATCAGCAGTAACAGATTTGAGCATTGAGAGGGCAGATAAGCTTGGGTGCGTGTGTGCACATGTGCTAAGTCTCTTCAGTAGTGTCTGATTCTGTGCAATCCTTGGGAGAAACAGATGTTTAGTTTATTCACTCAGTCAACAAGTATTTTCACAGCATTGAGTATCTGATACTGTGGGGGACTCTGGGGACACAAAAGGAAACCAGATTCTGGCAGCATTCATTCCAGGATACGCTAGAGAAGACTGAGAAAGAAACAAGCAAATGGGTAAGAAACAAGAAGCCACGACCAAACAGCCCAGGGAGCCTTTTTTATAAGCAGCATTTGGAAATGTTGTAAATTTGAGATCCTCAAAGATAGGCAGGTGGATTTATAGGTCCTAATGACATGCTCCTCTTATGACTTAATGTCAACTTCCCAGGAAAATTCCTATTTAGAATAGTTTAGGACACTGTAATGCAACCTTCTTGACCTGTGCTCCAGCCCTGTTCTAGCCCAGCCCTACCTACCTACCTCTTCACACCACCACTTCCAAACACACCCTCTCCAGCATTCCATTAGGCTAATGTCTCATTGTCCCACAAAACCTCATGCTCACCCACTCTGTTCTCTCCCTACACCTATTAATTCTACACACCCTTCAAGACCAAGCTTCCTCATTTTTATCTACTGCAGGCTTACCAAGCTCCCTCTCCTCTACACTACTAGTTCTCAAACACTTAAATACCTCAAAGTTGGCTGAGTTTCACTGCTGTTTCACAAGCACCATACATAACCAAGGACTTTAACAAAGACAGTCACAATCTCCTGACAGCACCTGTGGGCAGGAAGGGAAGGGGATTCAGTATACGACCAGAGTTCTCAGGGTCAGAGGCTGAGAGAGCTGACTCAGGCTCAGAGAAGCAGCTGGAAGGCACCAAGAAGAGCACCCAAGTCCACACACCAGTGCCCACGAAGCACCATTTCCAAACAGGAAGACACAGGGTCTCCAGTCAAGCGAAGACATTTCTACAAATGTGAATAAAAGTGGCAGAGAGACAGTTCTGGCAGGCGGATGGGGGTTGCGGGGAGGGATAAAAGCCCAGGTGGGGTATGTAATTAAAGCCTAGGAGTAGAGGATAAAGCATAAGCCTTGTCTCATAGATCTGGTCCAACACAGGCTAGAGAGAGTGCACTCTTCTGACCAGGGGATACCCAGGGGCACCATGTATCAAGAGGCAACAAAAAAGATCTGGGGGAGAGTTCAGGAACCTAGACACCAAGGCTGGGGGACTAAGTTTGATCATCTGACTCAGTTCTGAGGTTAAGCTGTAGACAAAGATTATCAGTGGATTTTTGTGGGGAAAGTAGATGAAAGAGAAAAAATGAAGAGCAAAATGTTCTTGGATAGATTATTAGGCCCTTAGGTGCTGGGACCATGCCTCAGTTCTATCCTCCACAACATGAAGCACATAATTATTCATTACATAAAAAAGAAAGATCACAGAGAGTTTGGTATTAGCCAATTGGGGAAATATGCCAAGCAAATGTGAGCCATCACTTAAACAAGCTATGTATTACTGCAGATTTACAAGAAGCCTCCATCACCCTGGGAAACAGAGAGTGGTATGTCTGTGTGAGGTAATTCCTGTGGTGAGGAAGATGGGGGTAGAAATGAAGAGGGGAAATTATTCGAGCTTTGCCAGCAACCTCCTATAAAACCTCAGACATGTCATTTCACTTCTCTAGCCTCAATCAGAGTAAATGTAACTGTTACAAATAAAAATAGTCTTCACCCAGATCTCTGCTTGGCTAACTTCATTTCTTTCGAATCTTGCTCACATCCTGTCTCCCTAATGAGCCCGACCTAGCTATCATATTCAATACTACAGCCAGCCTATCCCAACAACCTCACTCCCACAGACTGTAGTTTATACTTTTCTTTTCCATAACACCTCTGTGTGTGCTCAGTCATGTCCAACTCTTTGCAACCTTTTGGACTGTAGCCTGCCAGGTTCCTCTGTCCATGGGATTCTTCAGGCAAGAATACTGGAGCGGGTTGCTATTTTCTTCTCCAGGGGATCTTCCTGACCCAGGGATCGAAAATGCATCTCCTGTGTCTCCTGCATTACAGGTGGATTCTTTACCCACTGAGCCATCAGAAAAGCCAATAACACTTCTAACACACTACCTAATTTATCTACTATCTTTGTTGCTACCTGCTAGAATGGGACCTCCATTACAGCAAGGATTTTTGTTTTAGTTCATTGATATCAACTTTCTGAATGGCATCTGGAACAGAGTTCAATTCAGTTAAGTTCAGTCACTCAGTTGTGTCCAACTTTTTGCGACCCCATGAATCACAGCATGCCAGGCCTCCCTGTCCATCACCAACTCCCAGAGTTGACTCAAACTCATGTCCATCACATCGGTGATGCCATCCAACCACCATCCAACCATCTCATCCTCTGTCATCCCCTTCTCCTCCTGCCCCAAATCCCTGCCAGCATCAGGGTCTTTTCCAATGAGTCAACTCTTCGCATGAGATAGCCAAAGTATTGGAATTTCAGCTTCAGCATCAGTCCTTCCAATGAACACCCTGGACTCATCTCCTTTAGGATGGACTGGTTGGATCTCCTTGCAGTCCAAGGGACTCTCAAGAGTCTTCTCCAACACCACAGTTCAAAAGCATCAGCTTTCTTCACAGTCCAACTCTCACATCCATACATGACCACTGGAACAACCATATCCTTGACTAGACGAACCTTTGTTGGCAAAGTAATGTCTCTGCTTTTTAATATGCTATATAGGTTGGTCAAAACTTTCCTTCCAAGGAGTAAGCATCTTTTAATTTCATGGTTGCAATAATCATCTGCAGTGATTTTGGAGCCCCAAAAAAATAAAGTCTGACACTGTAGGCATCCAAAATAATATCTGAAGAATGACTATATGAATGAATCAAATAAAGGTCAAAATCTTGTGAAAGAGAAAAAAACAATCACAAATCTCTTTGTCCACGTTCTCAAGCATCCCTAAATGAACACCTGCTTGTTATTGTTTAGTCACTAAGTCATGTCTGACTGCTTGCTACCCCATGGACTAAGTCCTCCAGGCTCCTCTCTCCATGGGATTTCCCAAGCAAGAATACTGGAATGGGTTGCCATTTCCTTCTCCAGGGGATCTTCTCAACCCAGGGATCAAACTCACCTCTCCTGCACAGGAAGGTGGATTCTCTACCACTAAGCCACAAGGGAAGCCCTAATACCCTCTTGATGGGATCCAAAGAGACAAACACGACCACGGTACTCTGGGGCCACCTGCTGGCAACTCTATTTAGTAGTTACCTCTGCAATTAACCTGACAGGAATTTCCAGTGGGTAGCAATGGCACCCCACTCCAGTACTCTTGCCTGGAAAATCCCATGGATGGAGGAGCCTGGTAGGCTGCAGACCACGGGGTCGCGAAGAGTCAGACATGACTGAGCGACTTTCACTTTTCACTTTTATGCGTTGGAGAAGGAAATGGCAACCCACTCCAGTGTTCTTGCCTGGAGAATCCCAGGGATGGGGTCGCACAGAGTCGGACATGACTGAAGTGACTTAGCAGTAGAGTTGCAGGGAACTTCTCCCTTTGGCCAGTGAGGACACTCTTGGCTACATATGTAAAAGGGAAAAGAAAGGTAGACCGCAAATCAGGAGCTTCCAAAAGTTTTTGGAAAAGAGAGCTAAAACCGTCTCAGCGAGGAGATCCAACCAGTCCACCCTAAAGGAAATCAGTGCTGAATATTCACTGGAAGGACTGATGCTGAAGCTGAAACTCCAGTACTTTGGCCACCTGATGTGAAGAACTGACTCATTTGAAAAGACCCTGATGCTGGGAAAGATTGAAGGCAGGAGGAGAAGGGGATGACAGAGGATGAGATGGTTGGATGGCATCACCAACTCAACAGGACATGAGTGTCACTAAACTCCGGAATTGGTGATGGACAGGGAGGCCTGGCGTGCTGCAGTCCATGGGGTAGCAAAGAGTCAGACAGGACTGAGCAACTGAATTGAACTGAACTGAAGGACCACATACCCCAGTGTTTCCCAGAACTCCTTTCCACTTAGGATAATCACACTAAGTAATCAAGTACTGAGATCTTACATGTCAGGCACTGTTTAAAGAACTTTCATGTACTTTGTTTAATCTTGTAAATCCATCCATTGACACACATACCATTACCACAATTTTATAAGAAAATTTCCTTTTAAAATAATTGTATTCCATTATGTAAGGCAATGAAATCATTTGAACACTGACTTAAAAGGGGCTTCTCGGGTAGCCATAGAGGTAAAGAATCCATCTGCCAATGCAGAAGACATAAGAGACACGGTTGGATCCCTGGGTCAGGAAGATCCCCTGGAGGAAGATATGGCAACCCACTCCAGTATTCTTGCCTGGAGAATCCCATGAACAAAGGAGTCTGGCAGGCTACAGTCCACAGGGTCGCAAAGAGTTGGATACGACTGAAGCACGAATGCACTGATTTTAAAAAATCAAGACAAGGTGTGCATGCTGTGCTTCAGGAGGCCAAAGTGTGCCTGCATAAAGTGTGACAGGCCATCAATCTCTCCCTTAAGCCAGGCACAAGCTCAGTCCTGTCTCAGGATCCCAAGACCTCCTGGTTCATTCTGGTCACCTCAGAAGAAGGAGAACGCTCCCCAAAAGGCTATGTGAGCCAGGTATCCAGGCCTCTGAAGCTCCTAACAGTCTCCCAGGTGAGTCAGCTGGGCCCTGCCCCCTCTTTCCGGAAATGCAACCCCTCTTCCCGGAAGTAATTTTCGCTAATTTCCCATTTGACAGGCAGACACCCCAGGGACCGGTGTTCTAAGGGCAGATGCCTAAAGCAAGCCATCTGGCAGTTTCCAAACACACAGTCGAGCAGTCGAGGGTCTACCCAAGAGGCCACCTGGCTATCTGGGCACCTCAGCTCCCCACAACTTACTCGAAGAGAAAGGCTTCAAGGATCCTCCACGTCTGGGAGGGTGGTGCGACTGAGTCCCAGCCTTACCTCCTCTATGGGACCCAGCAGCCCCTCCAAATGGAGAAGGCTTTGGCGCCCCAGGGTTCGGGGCTGGGCCTCTCATGGTGACAGCGCTCCGTGGCAGACTCTCCAGGCAAGGGGCACAGCTCCGGGCCTGGTAGGCACCCCAGGGTAGGATAAAGGCCTGGGGCTTCCTGGATAGATGGAAAGTGCACTCCCTGGTGGTCAGGCCGGGCGACAGGCTGGTTCCTTAATTGCAGCTCTGCTAACACTGTTTCCCCAAAAGAGGATGCAAGATGGTTTTAGGTACCAAATACACTTTTCTGAATAACTGTGAAAAGAAGAGAAGCGAAAGGCAAAGGAGAAAAGGAAAGATATACCCATTTGAATGCAGAACTCCAAAGAATAGCAAGGAGAGATAAGAAAGCCTTCCTCAGTGATCAGTGCAAAGAAATAGAAGAAAACAATAGAATGGGAAAGACTAGAGATCTCTTCAATAAAATCAGAGATACCAAGGGAAATTTTCATGCAAAGATGGGCACGATAAAGATTAGAAATGGTATGGACCTAACAGAAGCAGAAGATATTAAGAAGAGGTGGCAAGAAGACACAGAAGAACTGTACAAAAAAGATCTTCACAACCCAGATCATCACGATGGTGTGATCACTCAGTTAGAGCCAGACATTCTGGAATGCAAAGTCAAGTGGGTCTTAGAAAGCATCACTATGAACAAAGCTAGTGGAGGTGATGGAATTCCAGCTGAGCTATTTCAAATCCTAAAAGATGATGCTGTGAAAGTGCTGCACTCAATATGCCAGCAAATCTGGAAAATTCAGCAGTGGCCACAGGACTGGAAAAGGTCAGTTTTCATTCCAATCCCAAAGAAAGGCAATTCCAAAGAATGCTCAAACTACCNGGGACAACATTCCAGCAGAAGAAATACCAAGTATAAATGCCATAGGCAGGAATGTGGTTGGCTTATAGAATGGCAAGAAGGTTGAAATGGCCGAATGAGTGAAGTGAATAAGGGAGAGGGGAGAAGGTGGGCAGAGAAAGAGGTAGGCAGGTGTCAGATCAGGTGAGTCCTTTAAAGCGGAGAATTTGCCTTTTCTTAAAACTGTGATGGGATGCCCTTGTAGGATGTTAATTTGAGGAACTGTATGTGGTGTTGGAGAAGACTCTTGAGAGTTCCTTGGACTTCAAGGAGATCCACCCTGTCCATCCTAAAGGAGATCAGTCCTGGGTGTTCATTGGAAGGACTCATGTTGAAGCTGAAACTCCAATATTTTGGCCACCTGATGCAAAGAGCTGACCCATTTGAAAAGACCCTGATGCTGGGGAAGATTGAGGGCAGGAGGAGAAGGGGATGACAGAGGATGAGATGGTTGGATGGCATCACCAACTCAATGGACATGGGTTTGGGTAGACTCCGGGAGTTGGTGATAGACAGGGAGGCCTGGCGTGCTGCGGTTCATGGGGTCGCAAAGAGTCGGACATGACTGAGCACCTGAACTGAACTGGACAGCAAAGAGATCAAATCAGTCCATCCTAAAGGAAATCAGTCCTGAATATTCATTGGAAGGACTAATGCTGAAGCTGAAACTCCAATACTTTGGCCACCTGATGCAAAGAATTGACTCATTTGAAAAGACCCTGATGCTGGGAAAGATTGAGGGCGGGAGGACAAAGGGATGACAGAGGAATAGAAAGTTGGATGGCATCACTGACTCAATGGACATGAGTTTGAGTAAACTCGGGAGTTGGAGATGGACAGGGAGGGCAGGTATGCTGCCGTCCATGGGTCGCAAATAGTCAGAAATAACTGAAGGACTGAACTGATCACTTTTCTGAAATGCTTTGGCTATTTACTCTTGAGTGTTTTTGGAAAGAAATTACTAGTATAACAATGCCTTTAGTGAGGCTAACTTTTTTAAAGTGAGTGATTAACACTGGTGTAAAGGAAATAATTAAATAAATAATACATGGATTTTGCATTTAAAAATCATGGCAGTGGTACTCAAATGACTAAAATCCAGGAAAACTATCAGACTTACAAGGAAAATGAAGGGGATATGTGGGTATGATGGTTACTTTTATGTGTCAACTTGCAAGGTGTTTTTCCCTGACATTAACAGTTAAATCATTGCACTTTGAGTAGAGCATATCCATATGACTTTCCATAATATGAGTGGATCTTATCCATTCAGCTGAAGGTGTAAACAGAATAAAAGCACCAATCTGAGCAAGAGGGAATTTTCCAGTGGAATGGCTTCAGACTTCATCTGTACCATAGGATCTCCTGGGTCTCCAAGGTGCAGATGTTGGACTTGCCTGCCTCCAATGAGCCAATTCCTTATAATAAACATTTTCCTACATATATACACGTCATATTGGCTCTGTTTCACTGAAGAATCCTAACTTATGGAGTACATGCATGCTATATCACTTCAGTTGTGTCCTACTCTTTGCAACCCTATGGACTGCAGCCTGCTAGTCTCCTCTTTCCATGGGATTCTCCAGGCAAGAATGCCCTCCCCTGGGGGATCTTCCCAACCCAGGGATCAAATGTCTCTCATGCATTGTCATCTCCTGCATTGGCAGGCAGGTTCTTTACCACTAGCACCACCTGGGAAGCCCAGCTAATAGAATAGGTCATCTCAAATAACCAGCTTTTGCACTAGGTAGAGCTGTGAGGAGGACAGCAGGAGAAAGAAAGTTCGACTGAAATATCAATACCTGATGCTCTGAAGTCCAGAGGGGATAACTCTATGTCCTGCTCAACAGGCACATTCACCCCGGTTTCACTGCTTCTGTCCTTCCCTTCCCACCAGGGCCCTTGTACACCAGGTTTTGGAGCATTCCCACTATTCACTCTTCCTGGAGGAGAACTTAGTAGTGCAAAGTAGGTGGAGTCTGGACCCAGGTCAGGATATCTTAATTTCCTAACTCTGCTCCCTGATGACCTTGCAACACTGGTTTATCAGAGTCCTGTCCCTCTCCAGAATTTGATTGTATCTGCAGAATAAGAGGGCATGACTACAAGATGTCTAAAGTCCCTGGAGGATATGGGTACCTTTCTCCAGGCCTGGCCTCTTTCCACCCCTTTCTTTATTTGCCTCTGAAATAGTAGAAAGACTTATCTGATTGATAAATTTAGTAAGGGTAATTGGCTCAGGTCTGCTCTCCTTCTCCTGGGAGCTGCAGGGATCCTCCCTGCCATAACAGGGTCCTACAAGTGTGCAGGAAGGCCTGCCTCAGCCCAGGACTGCCATTAGATGGGTAACTCTGCCTAACCATGGGGTCTACCATGAGCAGTGACCTACCTAACAACAGAACCTAGAGTCATGGTCTACAACTGTATGACTATCAGTAAGAAAGTGGCATTCTGCCTACCATATTTCCTCCTGTTTAATTTTCTAAACCTATTCAGAAATACAGCAAGGGGCAGGATGTGATTTATGACATTCTTCAGCAAAATGCAACAATTCCTCAAGCCCTTCCACCACTTCATTTCAATAAGACAATGAAGACATCTAATGAATTAATTCTCTCTAGTGGATCAATGTGGAGAAAGAAATGGCACCCACTCCAGTATTCTTGCCTGAAAGATCCCATGAATAAAGGAGACTTGCAGGCTATAGTCCATGGGGTTGCAAAAGAGTCAGACATGCCTCAGCAACTAAACAACAACAATGGGTTGATATAATCTTTCATACGTATTATAAGAAACTGAGAAAGGGAAATGCTCTATGGTAAACATCACACAATGATACAGCCTCAGCAGAAAACATATATTGGAGTAAGGCCTTTTTTAGGATCCCTCAAGAAACATACATGACTATAAATCAGTCAGTGGTTTATTCAAAGTTAAAAGAGAATAAGAGTAGACTGTTTAGGTTCAAATCCCTTCCCTCTCCATAACTAGCTATATGAAATTAGTAGGTCATTCAAGATCTCTGTACATCAGTTTTTTCATCTATAGAATGGGGATAATAATGGGGACTTGAAAGACTTGCTATGCTCAGTGGGGATTCCCTTATGTCTCCACAGTGAAGAATCCATCTACCAATGCAGGAGTCATGGGTTTGAGCCCTGGTTTGGGAGGATCCCCTGGAGAAGGAAATGGCAATCCATTCCAGTAGTCTTTTCCTGGGAAATTCCATGAATAGAGGAGCCTTGTGGGCTACAGTACACGTGGTCCCAAAAGTGAGACACAATTTACTGGCTAAACAACAACAAACATGTTTCATATGCTGTGTTAGTTCCAGATCCACAAGCATTTTACTTCTAGAATAAAATCTGTGGGATCTAGAAAGGAAACTTTTGGTAGAAGTCATGGGAATAGTCAAATTAAACCAAATGTGAATTTGGGCCAGGAACAAGGATACATTTCTAGACAAACATGAATTAGAAAACAGGACAATCTTCCCATAACGAAACCCTCAGACTGATATCAGATTGACTAACTTAGCTTCCAAACGCAGGCACTGCTTTGGGACACATGACACACACCCGAGCAATGTACCCAGGGCTCTGCTCTCTGATGACACTGGTTTTATTTCCTCTAAACTGCCGCCAGTCTACAGACACATACTTCCCCTTTTTGGCTCCTAAGTCAACAAAAGTGGAAGCTGGAACAGAGAGGGGAGTAACTAACCCAAGGACACATGGTTTGGTAGTGGACAGCTGACTCTGCACTAGAACCCAGGTTTGAGTGGCTGATTAGTGCTCAGCCCAGCTGCAAAGTGCTCCTTGGCTGGGAGGACAAACAGAGTTCAAAGCAGGAATCCAAGGCTTATCATATCACCATCCGTCTGCCTTTTGTTCTCTTCCAGACTTTCTGTGTCTACTCATTTTGGCTTAATTGTGAGCTCTTTCAACCTTATAACCCTTTTCCCTTCTAATAACCAGGTCATACTCCAAAGCCAGGTCTACAGTCCCTCAGGCAGGAAGGAACACTGCAGGTGGGCCCCATGCTCCCAAGCCCATTAAGTGGGAGATGGGTGGAAATTCACCTTCTCTCAATTCAGACTGAGAGGCAATTCAGCCTTCTCTTCCCAATGTGCCTCATCATCTGCAAAGTCAGAATCCTGCCACAAGCCCCAGCTCCAGCTCTGTCACCTGGGGGAGGCCTTACTCTTCAGGTCTGGCCCTTT